AAAACTCTGATAATTCCTTGTGACAAACTAAATCATCATTCTGTCATTAAGCATGGAGGAAGAATGTTGTATGCTGCTTTAAAAAGAAACAAATTCTCAAGAATCATCCATGCATTCAGTGTTAATACATGATATGAATGTTTGTTATTGTCTGCATCCAGCATATAAATCAAATGCAGTCAATTGCAACATGATGAAAAATGAATAAAAAAAATCAGATGACTAATATAGTATAACAACCCACAATTTCCCCACAATTAATTATGTTGATTTAACCATACGTTCCTTAATATTAATATTCCTAACATCATTATTAGGATTTGAAAGGAGGAAGAAATCATAAAATTTATCTGACCTACCAGAGAAATTTCGTAAAACAGAAGCCATAAAAAGAGAACAAGAGTAATTATGTGACATTCCAGAAATGGCCCTAGGGAGTCTTGATATGGAATACACCTTTTCTGATATTTTATAATGCACGCAACTGTAGTTAAAGTTGATACTGTAAGAGTTGCTATGTAAAGACAATAAAGCTCAAAATAAAAAGTTTTCACCCTAAACTGAGGTTAGGTTAGGATCTAAAGCTGAAGTTCAGGGGCGTCCACAGTATATGGTCAAAAAAGTTAAGATGGTGGCTGTGATAATGAAATTGAAGCTCTGCCTGGTTTTTATGTGCACTGCACACTTGACACATCAAAACCAGGTACACTTTCAATTGCACCACTGTGGCTGCCTTCTTAACTTGCTTGACGATACCCTATGGACACCCCTGAACTTGGGGTTTAAAAGAAACAACAATTTAAAAGGAAAGGATAAGAAAGCTAATATTCTTATCTTATTTGGGATATACTGTAAGAATAGTTATAATACATAATGACAGAGCAAGATGAATGAATTGAAGCCATTTATCGAAAGATTCTCTATATTCCCAAGTCTTAGACAATCCTCTGTTTTGTTCCAGGTTTTGATCACAAAGCTGCCTCCCAATTTCAGCATCCTTTCTTTTTTTTGGCTATAATTTTTATTAACACTTTTAAACGAGAAGATAAAAACTAATACAAACTAATATAAGGAAGAAAGGAAAAAGAAAAAGGAAGATATCAAAGAAAAAGAAAAAAGTGCAAGAAAAGAAAAAAGTTGAAGGAAAATAGAAAAGTTCTCTCTAGTCTCCAATTTTTAAAGTCTTGTCTTATGGGTTTTTTTTAAAGAACTCAAAACAAAAGCATTTTCCCACGGGAATGATTCTTTATAATTAATTCCAAAATCTTATTTCAAATTTATCTGGACCCTTAGTCTGTTTGTAGCTTTCAAACAAAAGCATTTTCCCACGGGAATGATTCTTTATAATTAATTCCAAAATCTTATTTCAAATTTATCTGGACCCTTAGTCTGTTTGTAGCTTTCTAAAATCAAAGGTTTAATTACCCTTTTGCTGTTTATTCCAAAAAAAAAAATCAAGTCCTTAAACTTGTATTTAAAACTTATTTCACTGAGGTTTGAAGGAGACTCACCCGGTGCTGAAAAACTTGTTGATCCAAAGGTTCCTAATAGCTGAAAAGCAGTTAACAAGCAATTTCCAAAAGTGATTAGAAAAGGAAGTACTGTATGTGAACCCAGTGTCCTTTTAAAGGCACAGAGTTTGAAGGAGACTCACCCGGTGCTGAAAAACTTGTTGATCCAAAGGTTCCTAATAGCTGAAAAGCAGTTAACGTTTGAAGGAGACTCACCCGGTGCTGAAAAACTTGTTGATCCAAAGGTTCCTAATAGCTGAAAAGCAGTTAACAAGCAATTTCCAAAAGTGATTAGAAAAGGAAGTACTGTATGTGAACCCAGTGTCCTTTTAAAGGCACAGACCACAGTTTGTGCAAGATAGCTATTCCCTCGTCTCCCAGAGCTCTAAACCTGCTGGAGACCACTGTCTTGCAGTCTCCTCACAGGGAGCAACTATCTGGAGCACTTGTGGGTGATCTTAAGTCCTCTCCTTGTCCGGAGAAGAATTACAAAAAGCCAGTCACTTGTCAGCTCTTCATCCCACCATGGAGCCATCTTCAGCCCACCATTTCTTCCTGGAAGTCACCCATATATACATTTCCAAGATTCTGTAACCTAACCTGCTTTTCATTGCAATAACTCTGGTTGCTCTGAACATTGATGAACTTGCTTTCTTGATTGTGAGCTACAATAAGGGGCATAACATTAATTGCTATGTTCTATGTTATAACAATTTAGACTACATTTTCTTCAAAGGACAAAAAATCATATATGTGCATAATAATCCACAAAGTAACTGGGAATTACTTTGCCTAGAAAAATAATAATTCCTACTAAATATCTGTACCCTCTTTGAATAAAAGAAATGTAGAGTTCTTTAGGCATTTTTTGTAGCTTAACTATGTATACCCTCCCAGAATCACTATTCTGGAATATTCTATCTAAGTATTTGCATGTCTATACTTGTTCAGTAGCATGGCTGTTTACCTGCCACTTGTGTTTGATTTGGTTTGTAGACAAAACCTTAATTTCTGCTATTTGATAATTTAGGGTGAGCTTTCTTCTAAGCAATAAGTATTGAAGGCTCAAATGGCCCATTTACTATAAAAGATAGGATGCTGTGTTGTCCACATAATATAGCATGGGAATAGACAAGTTGCCAACTTTGGAGAGTGAAAACCAGAATCTGAAAAGGTTTGAACCACTGAGTATATATACTGTAAAAATTAAATAGCAAAGGAACCAAAATACACCCTTGTTTCATCCCTGAAATGGAACAAGATGTGACAGATGCCTTAAGGTAGCCAATTTCATGCAATTTATAAATGAGAAAAGTCTATGCTCAACATTGGATGTTTGTAACTTCTCCCACCTATAAGATCTTTAGCAGCAGTTATCAAAAGAAACAAAAAAGAGACAAATCTCCACCTCTTTGCCCCAACCAAAATTGTAAGAAAAGGGGCCAGAATGATTGCCTGTACGTAAGTACAAGATCCCATTCAAAAATAGAGTACTGCTGGAAGTCTTGTATTGTAATGTTAACCTTACTTCTCCCCTTCCAGACTTGTATTGTGACATCACATGCAAGTATGTAAGAAGCAGAGTTTGAATCGCAGTATCACAATGCATGTTTGTTACTTGCCCCTGTGGATGCCCACGGATAGGAGCAGCAATAACATTGATATATCAACCCTAAGTGATAAACTGTAAATTTAAGATCTCACAGCAGCAGGGTCTTAACAAATCTGTTACCAACATCCCCAAAAATTTGGAACAAATTCTGCATTTCTGTCCAAACAAACCGTGGTTGTACACACTAGCCTTCTATCTGGCAGAGCTACGTTAAGTAAAGCAACAACAGTGAAGCCTTTTGGTCCTCTTGTGATCACCTAGATCCAAGCAGAAATACTAAATGAAAAAGGGAGCCTAGACAACAGCTGTATCACTCTCAGAACAAAAAGAACCACCTGATCTGGTCTGCTGTGTCCCTTCAGAAAAGTTGCCAGTGGTCCTAAACTGTAAGGGGCAGGAACTGTAAACTGCTTACTTGCTGCCAGAAATGTCCCAGTTCATAGAATGCGAATACAGTCCTTTATATTTATTTTGCTAGAAAACAAGCTTCTATACTTGCCTAGTGATATGCGCCTTCTTCTGGAACTAAAGGATATAGATTTTGATGAAAATACTCTCATCAGGCCTCCCCTGGAAGTCTGTAAAGGGAAACAACTGCTCCCCATCACACATTACTTAGAAAATGCTGATCAAAGAGATGGTAAGTTTAGATTCAATCTTCCAGTATCAAGATACTCCTACTCAGGCCTCAGATAGCCTTCTTTGGGCTTCATATCTACCATGGGGTGGGGAGGCACCAGCCATACTTGTTTCTTGATTGCTCTGATCACCTCACCTCCTGACTGGAATAAGCCGCATGCATTAGCAGAAGTGTACTCACTATCTTCTAGCATGCTCTTGGCTTGCCTTGGCAGATAATGGACATTCTTTAGTGATATAATTGTGAGCCTCCTTGTGAATAAGCCACAGCAGCAAAGTATGACTGTCTGCAGACTCAGTGCTTACTGAGTATAAAGCCACAGATATGCTGCACCAACATGTATTGCCTTAATTTATGCCCTGAGGAATCCTCTCTGGTATTCTTTTCATGGGCGACCAGCTTGCACTTTGTGAGTGGGCCCCTAACTAGGCCTCTTCATCATCTCACTTTGGACACCAGTGCGGCAGAGACCTTTGCAGACAGAGAGGTGGGGAGCTGACTGGCAAGTTACAAAAAGCAAACGCTGGACTCTCCAAAGATGTAGAGAACCTGCTGAAGCTTATTCCTTCCAGTCCTTTGAACATTCAGAGACAAGGGTTGAAAACAAAAACAGACTCTTTGGAGCCTCAGTAGTCCAAATTAGGAACTCAAAGTAACATTCAAAATAAAATGTCTAACCAAGGAGATAAACTGACCTGGTAGCAGCAGTCTGAGGTTTTTGTTCTCCTGTTCTTGCACCAACAGTCTCAATAAGCCTTCCAGCCTCAGCTGTGAGCCTATAGGCAACTCCTTTCCCGAATAGTCTCTGGGCCTTTCCTTCCCTCTACAGAGAGCTTTCCAGTTTGAAGAAGCAATTCTCTTCTTTGCTTGGGCAATGAGCTGAGGCCAGGCCTGGCAGCATAGAAGAATGGAGAAGTTTGTTTATACAGACCTGATTAAGTGATCCAGCAGGTGCTTTCTCTGCAGGCTTCTCTTTGTCATCTTCTGGCATCTGCTGTCTCCTTCAACCTTCTTCTCCAACCCCAACCTCCCTTGCTCCTTCATCAGAACAGGCACTGAGTCTGCAGGTACTTTGCTGCTGTGCTTTAAAAGGAGGCTGGCATTTTCCCTTCCCCAGACAATACAGCTTAACAGAAAGCCTTCAGTTACCTTGGGAGGTTCTATTCTACTGGGGACTAAATCACCTTAAATCTCATTTTGTTCTCACAAATACACAGAGCAGCATAAACAGCTTACAGTCCAAAATTCCAGTGCCCTATTTGGCCTTCTCTAGGACTCACTGCTTGTTATTTGGTCCTACCTATCTTGTTTTTTCCGTATAACAAGATACCCATCCTTTCTTTACTTCCAAATATTTTACACTTAACAAAGATGAATGGATGAGCCCAGGAAAAGTTAATCAATAGCTATTACAAAACAAAACAGGAAAAGCAATCCCATTTAAAGTGTTTTCCTAAACAGCCAACTATAATAGTCTATCAGTAGCCTGCGCTCAAACAAAATGATACAAATTGATAGCTACCTCTACACGCTGTTCTATGTTAATAAATTCATATTTTAATACCTAGCTAAGGATACAGTTTGTCTCATATCCTATATTCTTTTCAGTTTGTATGCATATTGAATTGTGATCTTGATCTACTCTTACTAGAGCAACATTCCCCAGAATTGTGTTTACAGCCTAAATTTATTTATATTTATTTATTTATATATCAAATTTATATCACCACCCAACTCCCTCACAAGGAAGGACTCTGGGTGGTTCACAACCAATTTAAAATCAATAAAAACATAAATAATACAGAATAAAATACAATTATTAAATATAATAAAATCCAAGCAATGATGATATTATTTCAGCCTGTGACCAGATAATATCGGTCAAAGACAAGACTAGGGAACCAGCCATCCCCAAAACTGACTGTTCCCATCCCTACCCCATGCATGATGACAAAACCAAATCTTCATTTCTTTTCTGAAGTCTAAAAGGGAGGGGGCCAACCTCACTTCTGGGGGAAGAGTGTTCCAAAGGGCAGGGGCTGCTGCAGAGAAGGCTTGGCTCCTGGACCCCGCTGGGTGAAATTCTCTTGCAGACGGGGTCTGTAGCATGCCCTCTCTGCATGACCGGGTGGGATGGGTTGATGTAACGGGGATGAGACGGTCCTTCAGGTACCCTGGACCCATGCCATGTAGGGCTTTAAAGGTGATACCCAACACCTTGAATTGGACCCAGAAGCAAAATTTAAA